ATAGATTTATTTATTTGCGGGCTTATGATTATGATTGTAACTCTTGTATGTAACTCGAGGTTTTTAGTATAATCAATTAGATGATAAGAAATTTTTTTTTGATTATACCACTATTTTAAATCATACTATAAAACTTCATATATTTTTTTATTATACCAATATCATTATGATTACAAATTATCAAATGAATAGTATATATATATTATGTCTCAACTACGCTCACATAATTTAAAATCAAATTTTGGAAAAAGATTTTTGTAGAATAAAGGCGTTGTTATTGTGTTCTGATGAATCACACAATACATTTTCCGCTTTTGGGGTGATTGTGTATTAATCTCAACTTTGCTAACTTTACATAAACGGAGGAAACAAAAGTTGTTTTTTTTCCTCTTCTAAATTCTTCATCTTGTTAACATTTTTTATCTTGGCTATATATATTCTTAATCGGACATGGAAAGTGTTAAGACTAACTATGTATTCTCTTTAACGGGATGGTAGTTAGTACCACCGATCCAAGGCATTCTGAAATCGTCTTCATAGAGCCTTTGGCCTTTAATGTCTCTTGTGATCTTTCTTAGATATAACCCTTCTCTCTTCACCACCCAAATGCATTCTTCCTCTTCCGGATTATCACATTGCCACCTGAACTTTCTCTCCCCGGCAAAAACTGTTAGGGTTTGGCCATAAGGCGAGCCAAAAGCGGTGAAGAAAATGCACTCAAAGTATGTGTAGATGAATGGTATCTTGATAAATACTGGCGTGAACGACCAGCTTTTGGATTGGCCTGGTTTGAGATCATGCATACCTAATTTGTTATTAGCTGACCAACATTTAACCGAGAGGTGCCGATCTCGTCCCGGGTATCTAGAGATCTCGTTTCTAATCTCAAATCGCGCTGCTAATGTCGCGGATGGAATGTAGGTTGATGCGATGAAAAGGCAACACACGAATATGTTGGCTAATCGGAATCTAGATCTAATCTTCAACCCAAACCCCATTGCTTGAACAGTTATGTTTTGAAAATTTGTTTTTGGGATGTACACAAACTATGGTTGGAGACATCTTTATATAAACGAGACTGGTTGTTATTAACAACAAAATATGAAGGCAGTTTTGGACGTTTTGTGTTGGATGAGTTTTTTCCCTTGGTTTCCGTGAGAAGACTAACAAACTCAACTAACAAAAAATATCAGTAAATGAAAAACTAAAAGATATAAATAGAAACTCATACATCACATAAAA